CTTCTCAAGTTAGTTCTACTGCGGGCTGGCGTTATTTCTAGCACAAGTGTTTGTTTTGGTGGCCATGTTAGCCCTACCTCACGCTTGTTTGTTCTAGCTGCCCTCATGTTAGTTCTATCCCTTCTCGAGTTAGTTCTACTGCAGGCTGGCGTTATTTCTAGCACAAGTGTTTGCTCTGGTGGCCATGTTAGCCCTACCCTCACGTTTGTTAGTTCTAGCTGCCCTCCTGTTAGTTCTATTCCTTCTCGAGTTAGTTCTACTGCGGGCTGGCGTTATTTCTAGCACAAGTGTTTGTTTTGGTGGCCATGTTAGCCCTACCTCACGCTTGTTAATTCTAGTTGCCCTCATGTTAGTTCTATCCCTTCTCGAGTTAGTTCTACTGCGGGCTGGTGTTATTTCTAGCACAAGTGTTTGCTCTGGTGGCCATGTTAGCCCTACCCTCACGTTTGTTAGTTCTAGATGCCCTCCTGTTAGTTCTATTCCTTCTCGAGTTAGTTCTACTGCGGGCTGGCATTATTTCTAGCACAAGTGTTTGTTTGGGTGGCCATGTTAGCCCTACCTCACGCTTGTTAGTTCTAGCTGCCCTCCTGTTAGTTCTATCCCTTCTCGAGTTAGTTCTACTGCGGGCTGGCGTTATTTCTAGCACAAGTGTTTTCTCTGGTGGCCATGTTAGCCCTACCCTCACGTTTGTTAGTTCTAGATGCCCTCATGTTAGTTCTATTCCTTCTCGAGTTAGTTCTACTGCGGGCTGGCGTTATTTCTAGCACAAGTGTTTGTTTTGGTGGCCATGTTAGCCCTACCTCACGCTTGTTAGTTCTAGCTGCCCTCCTGTTAGTTCTATCCCTTCTCGAGTTAGTTCTACTGCGGGCTGGCGTTATTTCTAGCACAAGTGTTTGTTCACGCGGCCATGTTAGCCCTAGCCCACTCCTAGTTAGTACGCGAGCTTCCCTCCTGTTAGTTCTAGCCCATCTCGAGTTAGTTCTACTTCGTGCTGGCTTAACAACATGAACATACTTACAACATTGAATACACAACAAAAACCTTGGAGAAAATTAAAATAATATTTACAAAAAAGGTGAATCGCGTGCATACAAAAGAGCAGCACAAAACCTTGCTCTATATTTTGCACAATCTCCTTTTGAAATTGTTATCGACCGTTTTTCGACAATGTTGTTAATGAATTCAATCATAAAGATCCCGCAATCTAACGTTCTGCATTTAAGGGGAAAATATTACAATATTGAAAATGACTGTGAAACAAAAAAATGAACAATTAAATTAGAAATGCATGAAACACTTACGGTCCTTGTTGTGGCACGGCAACTGACACAAGACCATGATGCTCCAATTTCCCCAATCCCCAATTACTCTTAATGAAACTCATAAACTTATTTATAAATTTCACAGCATCGGCGGTATAAATGGGGGAGTTGATTGAGGAGTAGTGATAGAATTTTGTCTCCTCTCTCACTAACTCTACCAGGTGCCAATGTCCGGAGCTGACAATCGGGATCAGAATTCTTTCACACTCCAAGAACTTCTGCTGAGAAACATTTTCCTTCATTCGTTTTGCCACCATTTCAAGATTTCCTTCTAGAAATGCTTGCTAAAAGATGCAATAATGTCAACATTGTGGGATAACATAATAATAATATCCACCAATTAGTGAAAAAAACAAGGATATACTTACTGCAAGCCAAGGTCTTGTGACATGTATCTTTCGATCATAACTATCAGTTGTTTCAATCTTGTTACAAAGCCGAATAACAAATGCATCGATCACCTACAAAAATTACCATGAATGAATAAAATAGTTAATATAAATTATTTTATATACAACATCAAACAATCAATAACACAATTGTTTAGAACCTACATCGTCACTGAGTTCACCTCCCGTTAATAGTATATAAGCATCTAAGCGAGATACGCTTGCTTCGGCACACTTCCAAATGTACGTATCACTATATGCAAGTACATTGTGAGAAAATTGCTACTAGAATTAAGTAAATTCAAAGATTATTATTAGAATAAGTCAGTAACAGTTACCTGTTCATTCTCGATTGTAGAAAGTCTTCAATTAATTTGTTCTCATAATCAAACGCCAGTGCCTTACCTGGATAGTCTCTAGATGTAGGTATGAAGCCTTCTTCATTTTTGTACTTTTTTTTCCCATCAGGACTATCCAATATCTGGATGACACGTCTCTTCTTTGTGCCTTCCTTTGGTTGATCTAGAGGCATATAAGGTGAAGTAACAGAGGGTCCATCCTTCCTCTCCCTCTTTCCGACAGCCCGTTTGATAGATGGCGTTTCTCTGTTATTCTCATTACCACCTTCATCTTTTTGAGAAACATCTCTATAGAGTCGAGAAGGCATATAATTAACAAAGAGTTACACAAGAATTATATGGAAAATATAAAAATTAAAATTGCAAGAAAATTTAAAAAACTAAACTCACCGAGCATCTTCTAAAATTCTCACGTCTCTTGCGCTCATCACAAAGTCATCACATAAATCGGCTTCCCCAGTTCCTTCCAAATTCTCATATTCCTTAGCTTCCATATCCTCTTTGATTTTTTTTCTTCAGTTACATTTCCGTCATCCTCTTTCTCCTTGGTTTTTTTTGGCATCTAGCACTACGCTCTTCTAATTCTCGTAATTCTGTAGTGAGCTCATTCAACTCGTACGTCTTCTCCGCAATTAAGAAAATTAATTCAGCTTTCCTTGATTCCTATTTGACCAAAAAAAGCTAGTATTAGTACGTATACTATAGTTGCAAACATAGATACTAACAAAAGGGACATAAAATAATGAACTATTAGAGCAACGATATGTACAAATACTATTGGCGATGCCGTATGAATAAGAGGAGTATTCTCTTGGCCATTATCCGTAACCAACTTCGGGACTCTATATAATTTGTTCATAGTAGTCCTCCTCCACTTTCCAGTACTCTTCACACAAAAGAGCGGCGGTAACCTTTCAATATCTGAAGTGTACTCTAATTCCCCTACTTTTTCATAAAACCAAACCTACAAAAAAGAAACTACACATTAGCATGTGCATAAACAATAATCATTATCAAAATGAAAAGATATACAAAATAATGTTCATGTAACTCACCAGTAAAACGGAGGAAAAACCACCCATGTACCCGGCATTTGAGCGCTGACCTAATTCCCGCATACTAAGAGACTTCTTTGATTTACTCATCTCTTTGCAAAGAAGAGTGAACACCGCATGGCACCAATTATATTTATGCAAAGTTGATAACTGCTCCGCATATCTAAACGCCCACAAGGGACATGTCTTACATGTCCGCGGGCATAATATGAAGCCGATAATGAAAGCCACAATAAGTTTCACACATATTATAGGGTCTTCATTAATCATATCTACAATCATCTCGGCCATTCTATCGCGCTTCCCCGAAATCACCGCCTTCTTTTCCTCATCGGCTTTCTTATAATTCTTTACAAAATAGGTGTAGATTGTATTAGCCGCTGCCCCACTCATTTTTATCGGAATTCCCTCCTTTGGCAATCCGGTAATTCGGTGAATATCATCTATACCGAACACACAATTTTTATTCCCAATCATGAATGAGCATTTATCAGGATTAAAATTTTGAATCAAGCAATCAATTGCTATTTGCTCATTGCTCAAGGATGTGGGTATATTGAGAAAGCTGTGAAAAGGTGTCGTCTGTAGGGCTTTTAGGTGTCTTTCATCTAATTTTATTCGCTTATCAATTAAATCTCGAAAATAACACAAATTGGCCGGAATTCTCAAGTGTGTTATCTTAGCCCTACAAGAAAATTATAATTCAGAAAGAGTTAAAAATTAAATATATTTGGGCAAATTAAGACGCATATTAACAAGTTTATTAACACAAACATTATACATCATGGCTTACAACAAAAATTATAATTCAGAAAGAGTTAAAAATTAAATATATCATGGCAAATTACTTACGAAGTTGGAGGATTATTGCATTTAGAAGAGGTAGGCTTTGATTTTGAAGAATTCGAAGACGTCGACTCTTTCAATTTGTTCGAAGCCATGAGGGCAGACGTCGAGGGCTTGGTCGAGCTCCGGAGGCGGCGATGAACCTGAGGGCTGAGCTCAAATGCCATCGGAGGCGTGGCTGATGACGAGGGGTGAGTTCGATGGCGAGGAGGAGTAGACGGCGCTGACCCGGCGGCGACGCTCAGCGGCGGCGATCTCGGGAGCTGGAGAGGAGGAGGGGAGGTGATGGCTAGGGCAAGGGGACGGCGGCGACGCTGAACGGGGACGTCGAGGGATTGGCCGAGCTTGGGCGGCGGCGCTTTCGGGCGGTGGTGAGGAGGAGGGGGTCGGTGATGGCGCGATCTGAGCGGGAAAGAAGAGAGAAGGGTAGGGATTTTGGGGGATGGGATTTTCAAGTGAAAAAAACAAGGATATACTTACTGCAAGCCAAGGTCTTGTGACATGTATCTTTCGATCATAACTATTAGTTGTTTCAATCTTGTTACAAAGCCGAATAACAAATGCATCGATCACCTACAAAATTTACCATGAATGAATAAAATAGTTAATATAAATTATTTTATATACAACATCAAACAATCAATAACACAATTGTTTAGAACCTACATCGTCACTGAGTTCACCTCCCGTTAATAGTATATAAGCATCTAAGCGAGATACGCTTGCTTCGGCACACTTCCAAATGTACGTATCACTATATGCAAGTACATTGTGAGAAAATTGCTACTAGAATTAAGTAAATTCAAAGATTATTATTAGAATAAGTCAGTAACAGTTACCTGTTCATTCTCGATTGTAGAAAGTCTTCAATTAATTTGTTCTCATAATCAAACGCCAGTGCCTTACCTGGATAGTCTCTAGATGTAGGTATGAAGCCTTCTTGATTTTTGCACTTTTTTTCCCCCTCAGGACTATCAAATATCTGGATGACACGTTTCTTCTTTGTGCCTTCCTTTGCTTGATCTAGACGCATATAAGGTGAAGTAACAGAGGGTCCATCCTTCCTCTCCCTCTTTCCGACAGCCCGTTTGATAGATGGCGTTTCTCTGTTATTCTCATTACCACCTTCATCTTTTTGAGAAACATCTCTATAGAGTCGAGAAGGCATATAATTAACAAAGAGTTACACAAGAATTATATGGAAAATATAGAAATTAAAATTGCAAGAAAATTTAAAAAAGTAAACTCACCGAGCATCTTCTAAAATTCTCATGTCTCTTGCGCTCATCACAAAGTCATCACATAAATCGGCTTCCCCAGTTCCTTCCAAATTCTCATATTCCTTAGCTTCCATATCCTCTTTGATTTTTTTTCTTCAGTTACATTTCCGTCATCCTCTTTCTCCTTGGTTTTTTTTTTGGCATCTAGCACTACGCTCTTCTAATTCTCGTAATTCTGTAGTGAGCTCATTCAACTCGTACGTCTTCTCCGCAATTAAGAAAATTAATTCAGCTTTCCTTGATTCCTATTTGACAAAAAAAAGCTAGTATTAGTACGTATACTATAGTTGCAAACATAGATACTAACAAAAGGGACATAAAATAATGAACTATTAGAGCAACGATATGTACAAATACTATTGGCGATGCCGTATGAATAAGAGGAGTATTCTCTTGGCCATTATCCGTAACCAACTTCGGGACTCTATATAATTTGTTCATAGTAGTCCTCCTCCACTTTCCAGTACTCTTCACACAAAAGAGCGGCGGTAACCTTTCAATATCTGAAGTGTACTCTAATTCCCCTACTTTTTCATAAAACCAAACCTACAAAAAAGAAATTACACATTAGCATGTGCATAAACAATAATCATTATCAAAATTAAAAGATATACAAAATAATGTTCATGTAACTCACCAGTAAAACGGAGGAAAAACCACCCATGTACCCGGCATTTGAGCGCTGACCTAATTCCCGCATACTAAGAGACTTCTTTGATTTACTCATCTCTTTGCAAAGAAGAGTGAACACCGCATGACACCAATTATATTTATGCAAAGTTGATAACTGCTCCGCATATCTAAACGCCCACAAGGGACATGTCTTACATGTCCGCGGGCATAATATGAAGCCGATAATGAAAGCCACAATAAGTTTCACACATATTATAGGGTCTTCATTAATCATATCTACAATCATCTCGGCCATTCTATCACGCTTCCCCAAAATCACCGCCTTCTTTTCCTCATCGGTTTTCTTATAATTCTTTACAAAATAGGTGTAGATTGTATTAGCCGCTGCCCCACTCATTTTTATCGGAATTCCCTCCTTTGGCAATCCGGTAATTCGGTGAATATCATCTATACCGAACACACAATTTTTATTCCCAATCATGAATGAGCATTTATCGGGATTAAAATTTTGAATCAAGCAATCAATTGCTATTTGCTCATTGCTCAAGGATGTGGGTATATTGAGAAAGCTGTGAAAAGGTGTCGTCTGTAGGGCTTTTATGTGTCTTTCATCTAATATTATTCGCTTATCAATTAAATCTCGAAAATAACACAAATTGGACAAAATTCCAAATTGTATTATCATAGCCCTACAACAAAATTATAATTTAGAAATAGTTAAAAATTAAATATATTTGGGCAAATTAAGACGCATATTAACAAGTTTATTAACACAAACATTATACATCATGGCTTACAACAAAATTATAATTCAGAAAGAGTTAAAAATTAAATATATCATGGCAAATTACTTACGAAGTTGGAGGATTATTGCATTTAGAAGAGGTAGGCTTTGATTTTGAAGAATTCGAAGACGTCAACGCTTTCAATTTGTTCGAAGCCATGAGGGCTGACGTCGAGGGCTTGGTCGAGCTCCGGAGGCGGTGATGAACCTGAGGGCTGAGCTCGAATGCCGTCAGAGGCGTGGCTGATGACGAGGGCTGAGCTCGATGGCGAGGAGGAGTAGACGGTGATGACCCGGCGGCGACGCTCAGCGGCGGCGATCTCGGGAGCTGGAGAGGAGGAGGGGAGGTGATGGCTAGGGCAAGGGGACGACGGCGACGCTGAACGGGGACGTCGAGGGCTTGGCCGAGCTTGGGCGGCGGCGCTTTCGGGCGGTGGTGAGGAGGAGGGGGTCGGTGATGGCGACCGAATTCGCGATCTTGAGCCGGCGGCGACGCTGATCGGGGGCGGCGAGCTCCGGCGGCGATTTCGGGCGCTGGAGAGGAGGAGGCGGGAGGTGATCTGAGCGCGGGAGAGATGAGAGAAGGGTAGGGATTTTGGGGGGATGAGATTTTCAACGAAGGGCTCAGATCTCTCTGAGGGGTTTTGAATAAACGGCCCAGATCGCGCATCCTCAGATGACAGCCTACGGAGTCACCGCAGATTCACATGACCCATATATATATATATATGTATACATGTATATATACATGTATACATGTATATATATATGTATACATGTATATATATATATATATACATATAT